TTGCTACAACCTCCTTTCAGGTAGTTGTACAGAGCAATAAGGTCTCCCCTCAGCCTCCTCTTCTCTAGGCTAAACAACCCCAGTTCCCTCAGCCACTCCTCATAAGACTTGTGCTCTAGACCCTTCACCAACTTCGTTGCCCTCCTCTGGACACGCTGCAGCACCTCGATGTCCTTCTTGTAGTGAGGGGCCCAAAACTGAACACAGGACTCGAGGTGCGGCCTCACCGATGCCGAGTACAGGGGCACTATCACCTCCCTGGTCCTGCTGGCCACACTATTCTTGATACAGGCGAGGATGCCTTTGGCCTTCTTGGCCACCTGGGCACACTGCTGGCTCACGTTCAGGCAGCTGTCAACCAACACCCCCAGGTCCTTTTCCGCCAGGCAGCTCTCCAGCCACTCCTCCCCAAGCCTGTAGCGTTGCATGGGGTTGTTGTGACCCAAGTGCAGGACCCTTAGCTTAGCCTTGTTGAACCTCATGCAGTTGGCCCCGGCCCATCAGTTGGGAACAGGGAATGGGATGGGATGGGATGGGATGGGATGGGATGAACTGAGCAAAAGGGTAACAACTGCAGCTTCTCTCCTTTGTAAAATGTGATCTCTCTTATTCTGTGCATATCCATGGGTGGGAATTCAAGGAGTACATTCTAATGGTAATTACAAAAAATAATAAGCAAACATAGAAAAGCTGGAAAACAACTCTTGATTAAGATCACTGTGTTGCAAACTTTAGGGACTAAGAACATCTTCTTGAAAGATCATTCTCATGAATAGATGGACTGTTCCATGAATGAACAGTACAAAGTTATTCTTTTCTAATGGCAGAATCTTTAATAGCTATGCTCACAAAAGGATGCGAAAAAATAACTCGGATCTTATTTTCCTGGCAGAGGCTGCAGAGCAGACAATTAGGGGAAAAAAAAAAAAAAAGTTTTTGCCTTGAAAACTGAATGTATTTGAACTGGAAGTTTCTGAGAACACAGAAGACATGAAATCCAGTATAATTTTTAGAGTCACTTTCCTGACAGCTCCTCCAAACCAACTTTAAAACAAATGTTTGTATCAAAATAACCACCAGCTTCACTGCCAAAAGCAAACCACGGCTCAATGTATTTACCCCATAGACTTCCATCAGCTTATCATTAAGTTGATTGAGACATTCTTCAGCAGTCATGTAGTGATATTTAGCATCATTTACTCTGTGGTTTGGGCTGTTACATAACGTAGCTCCTGGCCCATTCAATCTGGCATCTGCAATAATGAAATCAAAGTATAGCAAATATTGAAAAGATTATATTAAACACATCTGATAAATAGCACTATAATATAACATCAACAAAACAAGAAACCCTGCAATCGCATTCTTTACAGCCCAAATATGAGAAAGTCCAGTAGCTGTGTGCAGTACTAGTGGTGTCCACCCAATTTACAGTAATGGCCTCAGCTGCTATAGTTTTCCTAGCACAAGGTGAAGAAGATAATCTCAACTGAAGAAAGCACAGCTGAGACAAGGTCTTTTGCTTTTGCTTTAGCCTTCTCTGGTGCCTGGTTGCTTTGAGGAAGGGAGGTATCAGACTGGAGGAGGAGAAAAGGAGCACTGCGGAAGCTGTGACTTGCTGTCATACTGCCTGTCTGTCTCAGTGAGGGAACACGGGAGCTGCAGACAGTGTCAGAGAAAGTAATTTGTTATGTCTTCGACTGTGTAGCACAACTGCTGCACACTAGACTATCTCCCCTGGAGCAATTCTATCCTGGCTAAGCCCTCCTCCTGTTTGAACCACTGTGAGCTGTTTCAGGAGATCTTCCATCAAAACACTCCTGACTTAACAGAGCATCACCCCTGAAACTATTCCGCGTGATGTTCTGTTCTGGCAAGACTCAGTTCTGCACAAACAGCAGCTTAATATTGTTACAAGTTTATTATCCCACAGCCCAGCAGCATCAGGAAAGGGCGTCAGCCAGCTTCCCAGCAGGGCACCCATGTACTTCCAGTCCTGAAGGGCGAGGGTACTTTTAGGCCATAGAAAAGCTATTTTGGTCACCGTTCCAGATCTGATTCCTTCTGCTCATTGTGCAGTGATGCTCTAGGAACGTATTTTGCCTTGCTTCTGGGGAAAAACAGACTAAGGATCTTTTGTAGTCTTTTGAGCATTTTAGAATTTTTCTGCAACTCATGAGCCGTAAAGAGGAGTAAAGTAATTCACATCAGATTTTAAAATGGGAAAAACTTTTAAAGAAAAATGTACACACTGACATTTCGCTACACCCTACTCCTGATTGATAAGAAAAATGCTAAGTTAATGGTCTGTTCTAAAGAAACGTTTCTTTTCTTTTTGAAAGATTTACATACACCGACACACAAGAGCCTGTACAACTACCCCGAAGAATCACTAAATAGTATTCACTGCATCATTTCAACTTCTCCTGATTTTACCCGTTAAATCCTACTCCCCCCTACAGACATGCATTATCCTTCCCTTTTTTCATTTCCAGTTTCTATTGAAGTCTAGTCAAGAAAATTTGTACTCGTGTTATCTTCCCACTAAAGCTCATAAGAAGAAAATCAGGTCTCTTTTTCTGTAACTACAGGCCACCCTCCACCCCAGTGAATCACATATCATTGAAAAAGAAAAGTTAGGAAGGTTTTTTCTTTGCCTTCTGGTTTCTGAGATTTACTTTATGTTAAATGTGGGTCACATTTCCTTTTACAACTATGAGACATAGTAATGTATGGAAAGAAAAGCTGTGATCCTCACAGTTGGCAAAAGCAAAAACTTTAAATACAGACAAAACACTGTTGATTCTTGATTTAAATCAAAGAGCTGGCACACTCATTTTCCCTGAGGTTAACCTGTTTCAAACATCTTTTATTAGGCTACTGGATGGAAGTGCACATATTTTGGTGGACAGATGATTAGCTGGCTATATTAACAAACTCCTAAACTTCTAGGCCTGAATGAAGAAAAAACAGAGTATTATGTCAGCTAGCCACAAGTCAGCCCTCCCTCTTGTCTTAGTTCTAAAAGAGAAGTAATGACAGCAGAAAATAATAGTAACAGTGTGAAAAATGTAAATGTGCACCTCTGAGAAAAATAACAGAGACATAATATGGAAATTAAAGCAGGCCTTGAAGCCAATGGCAAAACTGCCGTTGACTTCAGTGGCATCAGAATTTTACCCACAAAATCTAGACTTAAAGCATAAGTATAAAAAATTGAGATATCAATTACTTACTAGCTTTAGTTTGCACTCAGAGTTCCACCCTAAGAAATCAGTTCAGATTCCATCAGCTTCATTTTTAAGAGCTAAAAATCAAACCCCTTACAGTGCCTTGAAATCAGTGAAATTACTGATGGGGTAAGGCAAGTAGCTGAGGTGAAAAAATGTGCTCCCAAATTATGAACATATTCCTCTGATATTCATTCCTCTGCAACAGTAAATCAATGAAGACCACATCCTCATTATATGGGTGGACAATACATCTATATCTACACAAACAGTAAACCTTGCTCTCTCACTAGGATTCTTGATAATCTAATAAAAATATCAATTATGTTACAGATAACCACATTTCACCATTCTCTAGTAGCAACATCCCTTAACAGCTTTAACATTCAAAAGCAGCACTTTAAATTAAAACCATAAACCAATAAGTAACCAGATCACACCACAGAGCTCCAGTTGTATATACTGCCACTAAAACTCATCACTAATGGCTTACTAACAGATCTTTCTTTCCTGAAAGGACTAGTTACTGTTTTCTGGCTTTTTACATAGAAAAGAAAAAGTTACTGGACATCACTACTAAATCTAAGTCATCCACTATAATTTAGGATACAACATAATTCCAAGACTGTGAATAAGAGTTAGAAATGCTGAGGACAAGGATCTACTCAAGGCAGAGCAATTGGTCAGTTACTTTTTGCAATCTGTTAGTGACAACTCCATGGCACCTATCTGTGGAGCTTTAGTTAGTTCACATCCCGCATGTTGTGGTTTCCCTCTTGTCCTGAGTTAGATACTCAGCAGCTTGGCTGTATCAGGAGTCAAAGAACTACAGGCAGGAAGGTCATCCGTGTGCTAAAAATCATATCACTGATCTCTTCCTAATTTCACCAATAGCCTTTCCTCGAAAGAGAAAAGTTCCGGATCTTCTAGGAAAGGTTTGTTTCATGCTTTATTGCTGTTAAAATTCCTTTACCTTCCAGTATTGCCACAAAATCCAAATAACTCAACCCTCCATCTGGTAACCCTAGCTTTTCTGTTAGTAGATTAAATTGACTGTCATCCATTGGCATGCCATGATCTTCCAACACCTGTTAGAAGAGAAATAAAGTTAGTTATATAATGGCCTATTTTCTTGCTTAATAAGCTGTTTTGAATACTAAATATCTGGGTGTTTTATCCTATGGCTTAACTTGAAATTACTCTGAAAATTGATCTCTTTTCCTTACATTTACAGTAAGCCATTTAAATATAGATCTATTCTGTACATCTTCAGTTCTATATAGAAAAAGGCAGAGAGCAAAATTTGACTATATTTTTGAGACTGGCATTTTAAGCAAAAGCACCAAGTGACAGGCTAAGATTAAACTTCACCTGGAAAATAAAAAGTGCCAGAAGAAATGACATTAGCTCATTTAGCAGACGGGAGGAAAACTGTCATTTGTAGAATTCGCTGCTGCCGCTTTTCCCCACGAGCCTGCCATAACTACCTCCTGGACAAGAAATGCTGCAGAATGGATTCAGGCCCCTGAACCACATACAGCTGCAGCGAGGTGGAAGGCAGGATTCCTTCTGCATTGCTGCTCTTCAAAGCAGATTTGGGGATCCATTTTAGGTAATCTATTTTGGCAAGGAACTTTCTGATCTTCCTACATTCCTCCTATGTCCCCTTCTTTTTTTTTGTAGACCCTCTACCTCTCTGCGTCTAAGAGGTGCAGCAGTCTGGAGTGGCGGCAGTCTCCCCTTGCGCCCCTCTTAATGTTACCTGGCAGTCGACTGTGGAGGGGTCTCTGGTTTTCTTCTACTTTTCCCACTGCCTGTTTCCCTGAAAAGTTGTAGTTGCAGCCCCTGCTGCTCCTGAGGGATTTCTCCAAAACCTTTCATTTCCTTCAGCTGCTTTGTAACTCCTGATTTGGGTGTATTTCTTTAAAACTATCCTGCACAACTCTGTCTTGACTTTCCAAGTGTTTCTACAGTGATTACTCTTGCCATTATATTTTAGTTAATTGTACAGATTAAAAGAAAAAAATCATTAAATAGCTGAACAGCATAAGGAGTGTTAAAAAAGTGAGAATAATTAGCAAATTATCATTTCTTTCTATGAATGTAAAGCTTCTGGATAAGCAAGCACATTTTATGTTCGGTTGAACAAGTATTTACCATCAGATCAAATGCTTAATAGCAGCGATAAGGAAATCTGGCCGCACAAATCCAATCAAAGCTGGAGAGAATCAGTCACAATAGTAATGTTGGTGACTACAGTCTCAACTATTAGCGCTTTCATCTAGAGGAAAAAAAAGTGATAAAACTCTGCCAAAACTGCATACAAGATTAAGTCATATTAAATTGTACGACTAGGTCATTGTCCTGTACTGAATGGCTCAGAAAAGGCTTAGTTTCTAAGTCTTATTTAAAGGAAGAGGATTCATGACAGCCTTACAGCAAGGAGATATTGTAATCCTTCACAGAAGTGAAGGCACACATACAAATTGTGGATGTTACCCCAGGACCCCGACAGAGCTTCAGTTACCATCTTCCTGATTTTGAACTATATTAAAAATTAGACAAGTCCAAAGGTGCAAAGGCAGGGTCTGTGCCTTCTTGCCCAGTTCCTAGGAGAGCCAGGCCAGTGACGCCAGAGGTACTACATTACTCTTTGGTAAAGGAGGTGGAGTTCAGCATCCCCCTTCACTAAGCCACCTCACACCTTTGGTACTCCACAGGCAAGCAACTAAAAGGTGTCCTTATGCTGTAAGCTGTAAAGAAAACCACAGAGAACTGACAGTATTGGTATAACCCTGGTGATTTTATGTCTGCGTTTTTGGGTTCTTCAGGCATACCAAGATCAATTATCCTTCAGAGGAATGCAAGGGTGCATTCTGCCCACTCCCTTAATGCAGCTGTAACATAATGTTATATAAATAAACAGAGCTTATCCACTTCCAAGTTGGACAAGCAGCTTTTGCCCACTTCTATGGCTTGGCCTGGAATAACGAATCAGAAAACAAGTATGGTTTTACCTTTGCCGCTACTACACTATGCTATTACTGTTTGAGTAACCTATCCCACCTCGGAGGACAAGCAACTCTGCCGAGCTGTACACTAGCTGCTTGGCTGCTCTAAATGAAGCTGTAGATCAGAGGAGCAGTTTCAAACGCGCCGATAAAGTGGGCAATGGTGTTGGCACACCTGCCCAGCTACAGAGTCAGGATCCAGTCAAAAACCAGCATACCACTGTAGATCACTTCAACTTCAGTGGTACCCCAAAATGCCTCACAACCTACTCACCTAAAATGCACTTGGGACGTCACATTGCCTACACCATTTGTGATAACCTACTGTATCCAAAACGTCTATATGCAGCTGGCAGATGTGATACAGAGAGTCCTACATCCTTCTGAAGCAGCAGTTGGAGGCCAGGGGAGATTCCCCACAATGCCTACAATGGTGCTAGACACCCATTTCTAGATGTTCTTTATCTACCCCTGAAACTCCACAAGCTGTGGGATGAAAAGCAACTGTTCTCCCAGGGTACGGATTGATGAACATCTTGGTAGAAGTGTCAGGGAAGTTAAAGCACGAAGAATGTGAAAACTCCCAGTTGGAACTCTACCTAGACAGTGAGGTGGAAAAACCCTTTCTTTTGCAAAAGGTGTAGAGATCTCTAAAGACCACAAGTGATGGAGAATCCGTTTCAGTCTGCATTTCACCTGAAAACACACGTGCTCAGGCAGTTCCCAGAGACATAAGGTAGTCTGTCACTTCAGTTCTAATGAGGAATCCCTTTCAATGACCCTTATTCGCACAGAGCTCTCATCCTCGTGCATTCCGGGGTAGGCTCATTTCACTCAGCACAAGGCAGGGCAGAACAGGGCTACTGCAGGGAAGCATGCCCCTTTTGAATGACCATAATCAGCAGCAGCAAGGCAGAATTCCCAGGCAGTATTCCACCCAGCTGGACTCCGCTGAGCTTGCAGGGTCCAAGGACATCACAGTGCAGTGATGCATATACCTGGCTTCAGGTACATGATGATTTTTTATCCTTTGTGCCTTGCCAAAACTTGAGAAATGCATCATCCATAGTGTAATAAAAGAACAATGAAATCACAAAGACTAACTGTTCAATAGCTTCTGGTGCTATACAAATATCTTAAATGTGAGTTGTACGCAGACAACCAATGCAGAAGAAAAAGCAGCAGGTAGAATGAGTTTGTTCTGCCTAACAGTGACAAAATGCACGTTACTGCATTAGCTGCAGGCAACATATAAGCCTCTTAGGTATCACATTGTAGCGTAAATCACAGCAACCAAAGCCAATGTCCCAAAGGTATGTGCCACAGATGTCAGATCTGTATGAGAGGAAGGGTTGCAGCTTAACACATTCTTAATAAGTGTATTATTAACAAGAAAACATTAAGAAAAATGGAAAATGTTTTATGTGTTTTGTCCTCCCTCTTT